CCATTGGGAGCATTTGAATCTCACAGCTCAGTGGCTATGAGACAGTCTGAAGGCTCAGAGACTCAGCTCCCTCCTAACTTGGAACAAGATCTTTGACAAGTTGAGTGGTTGTGGGCGAGCAAACTCTAGAAAACCATATAATAAATATAGCTCTCAGTAAAGCTAACTAAGAACCTATCGTTAAGAAAACACGTGAGTAGTCCATGACGACAGGAAGTGAGGATCCCAAAGGCACAATCAGAGGGAGCACTGGGCAGATATATTCTAGCTCCACTGGCCAGGAAAGCGGAGCTTGGCTGGGTCAACCAACCCAGGTGAAATTACTGACTCTAGGTTTGAGGACATTTACTCATTGCCCCATTATTACTCGGGATGGAGATCAGTTTCATTACTGCCACTGGTGAGAGGTCGCTGCCACACTGGGGAGACAACAGAAGAAAAACAAACAAAAAACCAAACATCTTAGAGGGGATGGGGACTCTGAAATGTAGAATAAGCCTTTGCTTGTTCCAAGTCCATCAGTTCCCTTATTCCAGGTTTATCAGAACACCTTCTCTAGCATCCCAAGGCACCCATAGTAATAACGAGAAGAAGCAGTAGTGAATGCTGAAGAAAATCCAGGCAGAGAATACTGAATGGCCTTGTGAGCAGTGAGAATTGGGATTGCTAAGGCAGGAATTTGCCGTAGGGATTCTGCTGCTTCCACAATACCCACAAAAGATGTAGATGCAGATCGAAGCAGGGACCAGCCTCTCATCATGCATCATGTGGGTGATTTACCAGGTGCGGAAGATGATACCCAGACAGGATGGTGAGGGAGGCTGCTCTTCGAGATGAAATGTGTTGGTTCTCAAGATTAGCTGCAGACCTTACCTTGCTGGCACGTATTTCTGGAGAGATATTTCCTGCGTTTTGAACATAACACTTGCAGCTTTGGCAAACTGAAGCTTTTCCTGAGGTGAGAAAATGTCTCACACAAGAACAACAGTGTTTAAAACACTTCTGGTTGATGACATGATAAGTAAAATTTAAGGAAGAAAAGGGTTAGAAAGAGAAGAGTTTGAGAGAAAGAAAAAGGAAGATAAATAATATACTCTTCCTGCAAACTTAAAAAAAAAGAACTAACTAGGAAAACATGGTAAAAAATGGAAAATCATACAGAGAAGGGAAGAGGGGAAAAGTTACTGTTAGTTGAAGTTCATTTTTTACTAACATAAAATGCACTCCAGCTTTGCCAATTGAGTTATGCTTTCTTTCTTTTGGGACCATGTTCTTTCTTTACAGAGATGTAGGATAATAAAGCGAAACTACATCTTGCTATTAAGAAAAAGTTTGGGCCTGGATGCTTGCAATATAAATATTCATAATAGGAACACGCATACAGCTTCAATATTGTTGAAAAATTAGGTGTGTGCTTTTCTAACACAATCAGATACAAAGATGAATGGTTGGGAAATTAGAACCTCCATTGCTGTTGTGCGGAGAGTTACTTTTGCCACAGGGCTCAGAAAAGCTGTCAGAAAACAGGACCTTTTATGAAGTTAGAGGAGACTTAGGATAGACAGGAAAAAAAACTACTTCTTGGCAATTTTCTGTGTTGCATCAAGACTGAGTGATGTGTTTTCATGCTCCAGGGAGAAAAGCATGGATCATCAATCAAAGGAGACACTATAGGTATTTCTGTCCTTTCATCTTTACTTATTTTAAAGGTCAAAAAAAAAATTCAAACCGAACAATTAAAAGCAACCGATCAAACTATGAAAGGATTTAGAATTTGTAAAGAGACACATAGCAACTACTGCTGACATGCAGATGTTAAAACTCTTATGTTAAAACACAACAAAATGGGATTCCTGTCACATTATAGAGAGCATTTCTGCAGGCACGTTCTATTTGCACGTGTTAGCTAAGATCACAGAACATAGATCTGCTTGGTCTGAAAGGTCTTCCCGAAGTTACTCATTTCAACCCCCTTCTCACAAGAGGCCCAGCTGCATCAGGTTGCTAAGGGTCTGAATCCATTCAAGTTCTAAGTATCTACAAGGATGGAGAACTAACTGCACATATGACAAACCTCTAACTTACCTTTTTTAAATAATATGTTTCAGCATCATTTGAAGCACTGAAAGCTCTAGTTCTACCATTGTGCTATTTGCCTATATCATATTAGTAGAAAGGTGAGGAGTGCTTGGTCCTGAAAGCCATAATGACAAAGATTAATCCTCCATCTGAGGGCGGGTAAGTGAAAAAACCTTAGAGGCAGAAATGACTAAGTGCTAATCAAGTTCCAGACTATTCGTTTGAATTCACATAACTTTGCTGTCAAAAGCAGCTTTACTTTAAAGGAAATGAAGCCCTACCAGAGCGCTCAATCACACGCCTCCGAATTAAACCCTAAAGCTTTGCCTACCACTTGAAGGCTGATTCTCCAACATATGCATTATCTACAGAAAACAAGAAGGGAAGGACCGCGGAGAAGCTGGTTGCCAGGGGACGGCTGTAAAACTATGCCTGCTGGCTATGACTCACGGAAGACGATGGAAATTTATCTGCATGTCAGCAGGCCGCATTGTACGCCGTAACGGCAAAACACAATGCAAAGACAGGCTAGTTGGGCTTAAGCATGTAGGACAACATTCCCATGCTAGAAAAACTCCCAAACCTTTTTTGCATTTGTATCGCTGCAAGCACAAACAGGCAGAAAGGCAAAAGGAATCAGAATCAAAATCCTTTTAAAGGTATTCATATGCCTTTATAATGGGATTGCCATTTTTATACAGCAATCCACGGGGTTGCTAATAAATATGCATTAGTTTGCAAAACATTGAATCGCAAAGAAAAAAAATGAAGTTTTCAATTAAAAAATACCCAGTATAAACCAAAAATTTACGAAGTGAAAAGTTAAATTAGTTGATTGCATGAAACTCAGAAAAGCAACAGTTGTCATCAGTAATTTACTTGGTCTAGACACCGTCTGTAGAAAAACAAACACCCCGATGCCATTTGCAAAGAAGAACAAAAGACTGAAGCAATAAGCTCCTGCTCATCAGTGCTTATTCAGGGTGACCTATTCTGGGCTTGCTGGTGGCTTTTAAAAAACTAGCATCTTTTCCCTCCTCTTTTGCCTTCATTTTATCTCCAGCTTTATGTTCCTTTTGACCAATGTTGTGCCACAAGCTCATGCCAGGAACTGCTCTCAAGTAAAATGAGCTATATATATATCTATATATATATTTAGGGCTCATCATGATGTATGCACACTTAGAACTGTAGAACCACATCCCTTTTATAGAAGAGTAGTAATTATGGCTATATTCCCTTGAAAAGGTCTCTCAAATAATCATAGTCAAATAGCATTAGGCGGGCTACATAACAGATCTGGGACCATTTAGCAGATGTTCTTCAAGATTAAGCTTTTTTTCTCTTAATCAAATTCTTTCTGTTCTGGCACTGCTTCATCCTGATCTCTTCCTGAACAGTCATGTAAGGAGCGTCAGCCATAAGGTCTGTATTTCAAGAAAACATAGCAAACACAGCCAAACCTCAAAACATAAGCACTGACTTATGCTGAGTTGGGAATTGTTGTTTTTTAAAATTGAAAAGCTAAGTAGTTGGTTATTCGTTTTAAAAGTCAAATCAAGCTTCCCAGTGAAAATATCAACTGCTTATATAAATATGAGGTCATCATCCTTGACTGACATGGGTAATCACAAGATTAATGTAAGTTTGATTTCCCACCTATGAAAACTTGCCTCCTATGAAATCCCTCCAAATGGAATATACAACCAAGTAATAATTTTTAAAACAAGACAAAGTAGAAGAAATTAAGTCAATGTTAATATGAGTGACTTAGGAGGCTAGTACATGAAGGCTAGTTCAAGAAAAGCTTTTGGCTAAATGGAACAAGATCATACACAAGTCATGATCTCTATTGCACCCTTCACAAAAAAACAGTTTTAAATGGTTAAATTATTTTCCTTGCTGTTACCAAAGTTGTACTACTAATGTTCATATATTTGTTCTGTAAGCACCCCTGTTTCAATTGCATAATTCCATGTCCTCAATTACAGTCTTCAACCTAATAGTAGCCTAACTGCTTTGAAAAGCTGCCAAAACACAGCACTGTGGTATCCTGATGGTATCCTATACAGTATACCATCAAACCAATGACCAAATCAATCTAATTAACAAATTAGGCTACATCCCTAAGGTCCTGAGACACTGAAGAAGCTGAAAGACTTTTCAGTCTGCATGTATATGCATGTACTTCTTAATATTTAATGTGTTGGCAGTCTGGAAAATACTAGTGTCCTAGTGGTTAAAAAGCACTTACAGTACTAGAAATTCAAACTACTAGATGCTGGTTCATCTGACAACTCTTTAAAGTTGTTGCAACTTGTGGAAAAAAACAAAAACATTTTTTTCAGAAAATCTCCTCCAGGGTTCAAGAGCTTCAGACATGCTCACTCCTTTGAGCATGTAACTGAGGGAAAAACAGCTGCAGGAGGAAGAAAGAACCTTCAGCTGTTCAAAATCCTATGCAACAATTAATTTCTCAATTTATTGCTTTAAAGACAACTACTATTTTTTTTTCTTCCTTAATGACCACAATATCACCAACCATGCAAATTACGATATTTAAGCAACCATGGATGTATTCCGCTTCATGGCATATTCCTTACTTAGCAATAGCTCTAGTTTAGCAATTACTGATTTCATTAAATACCAGATATCTTCTCCTATTTTCTTCACTGGTAGTAGAATCATACCGCTGAACATCTTTGAGATGTTCAGCCATATACTACTTCAAAAAGTATTTGCTACTGCAAATATCCCCTTGGAAAACTAAGTTTACTCTCACCAGCTACAAAAGGAAGGGATTCAAAGCTCAGGCATGACTCTCTGGCGGTAACCTGAAAAGGTGCTCCCATTTCATCTACAAGAACTGTGAATGCAAAACATATTAGTGCTAAATACAGCTAATAGGACAGCATACTTACTCAAGCTACTGAGCTGTCTGATTATATTTGCCAAGGAAATATTGGTGACACATTCCAGTTCATTCTTGATTCCTCGGGGCAGAGCTGTGTGGCACAGGTGCCTGGGATCGATGTTCCTTTTTACCAGTGGCATTCTGAAACGTATCAGAGGACCAGCACACCTGTAAAGAAAGGAAACAAAATACCATAATAAGTTTAATTGCACTTTAAAATCAGATTATGTCTGTGTTAAATTGAGTAAACCTAACAAGATACATACATATATATATATATGTATGCCTCTGCACTACTGAAGGGATTCATTTGCTCTAAATGTGAGCACATGAATCTTTTCTTATCTGCCCAGTGAAAGACTATTTCATTCTCTATCTTGTAAACCTTTACCTGACTCGGATGTCAGCGAAGTGACAAGTAATATCCTAAAATTCATGATTCTTTCTCCTCCTCCCAGAAAAAAAAAGACAGAAAAATCTCATTTGCAATACAAAAGTATCAGAGAATAATTTCCTGCTTGATGCACTACTTCCTTATTCAGACCAAAGTCCGGCAACAATTTCTACTTATCATGAAGTTAAAGTCAAACTAGCTTCCTATTAGACCTCAAAGGCAGATATGATCCATTCATGAAGCAATTCCATGTCACTAGCAGAAGTCATCCTTCTAATCTAAACATCACTTCTGAGTCATACACGACCAAGGCAAAAACAGAGAAGATCTTTCCCTTCCACCCACACTGCTAACTGGCAAGAAATTTAGCTAAACTGAAGATGCATCTTTCAAGTACAAGAGTCTCCTCAACGGACTTGTAGTGCGAACTGCTCCATAATTCAAAAGACCTGCCCCTGCTCCCCCTTTCTGACCAGCATATCGTGCTGTGAGTGAAAGGCTTGCAATTATTAGAACCCACAGAACCAACTGAAAGGAGCTTCCCATCAAGCATGTGCAGCAGCCTTTTTGTCTTATTAAAATCTGTTTAAGAAAACTTCTTTTTAATGAAAAATAAATTTCTACAATTTTATAGTTTTTGTCATCTGCTAAGTAAAACTGAATAATCAATGTAAAAGATCTACTTTACACCTAAAAAATGGTTAAAATTGGTATTGGCATAACATAGTCTCACTCCTCATTGATACTAGGATGCAGCCAGGACTTCCTGCTGTACCACAAATTAAGTCTTCTCCACAGGCACATTTAGCCACCTGTTTTCTACTTGGTCAAAATGCAGAGATTTCTTGGCTAAGAGTAACATAAAGCAGAAGTGACAGGAGCTGACCTAGAATGCAGTAAGAAATTAAAGAGTCCAAGAAGATAGAAAATTAATATTTTTTTCTCCTACAGATTACTCCGTCTTTTCCTTGCCATTTTTCCTAAGGGAACGTATTCTTTTGCTGAAACCAGGGTGACCCTGGCAGGACCTAGTCTCCCTCAGAAATTCATCCATGCTTCCCGTATCTGCTTTGACTCTATTCAGTGCATTTTAGTGCAACTTTATTCCCTCTATTTTCCTCAAAAAAGCAACAAAATTGTAATTAGCAATTTAGTTTCAAAAAAAAAATCAAACATGCATTGTTGAGGTAAATTAACAGTTTGTTTTCTTGAAGGAACCACTAACATTTAAATCTAATACCTAAATACAACAGAGCTAACAGCCGCATGCAAGCAACACAAAATACAGAGTGCAGATACGGACTCTGTCTCAGAGGCAGTGTGATGTTAGCAGGAGGCATTTTACCTGCTGGTACAACACCCAGGGGCAGCATGAAGCAAGGGGGGCCATGCAGGCCCCGCCACGGCCATTTCTGCAGCAGTGGGAGCATATGAACACCCCTCAATGGCTGGAAAACCCCTAGCTAGAGGTTGATTACCAGGGCTTTCTCCACAAGAGAAAATATAGGAATGATTCAGTCACTGGAAAAGGAACACAGCAATGATATCCGAGCAATGCTCTGCAGAAGCAATTAATATTTAATTCCAGCGTTAAGCACTTTCTTGATTACTACATTAATGACACTGTTGTATAAACAGCGAATAAGGTGAGTCCTTAAAAAGTCAAAGCAAGTCTGAAAAGAAACCTCTCCAAAGAAAAAGTAAAAATCTACGTATAAACGAAACAGAAATACTCATCATTTCTATCTATATAAACACAAATACAGCCTATTAAGGTGAAGAAAAAAATCTGTAAATAACATGCATGGAAGTAATTGACGGCAGGTACACTTTCGTTTTTGTTGTATTCAATCAAGATATTAATAAGCGATAATATTGCTTCCCCCTCCTTAATTTTACACCATTTGTGGAAAAAATATGTCCCATTTACAGAACACACAAACTTCAGATGCTTCTGTGACAGATTCTTAACAAAAGTGCACATACTAGCAATACAAAAAAAATTAATCTTCAAGTAATTTCAGGACAAGGGGTAACAGGTGTAAATTGAAACATAGGAAGTCTAATCACTGTGTGAGGAACAACTTCTTTCCTGTGAGGGTGACAGAGCCCTGGAACAGGCTGCCCATGGAGGTTGTGGAGTCTTCTGCTCCGGAGATCTTCTAAACCCACCTGGATGCCACCCTGTGCCGTGTGCTATACATGTCCCTGCTGGAGCAGGGGGGTTGGACTAGATGATCTCTAGAAGTCCCTGCCAGCCTCAACCATTCTGGGTTTCTGTAATTTCAGCCAATTGCTAGACAGTTTTTAAGTAACAGCACTTTGGCATATAATGCTCTTAACTTGCCTGGTTTTACTTGCCTGCATTTAACAAAATAGCTGATAAAATGCAGTATTGGCCCAAAAATTCTCTTTAAAGGAAGCAAATTCTCTTTAAGGCAAACACACATAAAAAGATGCTGTGCAAGCACAGACAAAGCAGAACTCCTTCAGCACACAATTATGAACCCAAATCAAAGTCCATTTAAACTATGGAAATTCTTTTTGCACCAACTTCTCCAGGCTTTGCAGAAAACATACTCTTTGACAGTTTTGTTCCCAAAACATGAACACCAGATAAACAAATATCACATCATAAAAACTATGGAAAGACTGAACAGAGAAAAAATGTAATTGTTTTTCAAAGATACAAGAATAAGGAGGGAAATAAGGAAATTATCATTCAACTTGCTTAAAAAAGGGAAATACATTTCTCAACTTTTAGTTTTTTAGTTAAATTGTAGAATGGAATGCCACAGGGCAGGCACTGCATACAACAACAAAAAATATAAATTAAAAAATAAGAAAGATTTTCAAAAAGGCCAGATTCACCAACTAAACATGACACTGTAGGTCTGACTTTCAAAGGGATGAAAGTCCAAACCTGCTGTTTTCTGAGATAATATTCTGGGGAACAATCAGTCTTCATATGCCTTTGTAAACCTAAGCATCACTGTCAGAAAAAAACATCTGATGCGGGACTGACTCTACAGCGTTGCTTTACCCCCTGCTACTCAAGGAATGCAGAACAGAGGCAAATCTTGAGGTCCTGCCCTGCCAGCCCTCCAAAGGTGCTGGTCTCTGTGAGGTGCAACTAAGTGGTACCTGTACAAGGTAATTAATCGGAAACCTGCCTGTCAGTAATTTCTCAACCACAGACCATGCTGCCTTCGCAATTTGTTGCAATCACGAGAAGGTCTTGCCAGTTCCTCCCCAAACCTTTGAAGGACATAGCGCTGGAATCCCTCGCGCGCAAGGAAATTCCTCTGCTCTGGGGAAAACGACTTTCCTAATCCAGTTCACACTGTTCAAGAAAACTGTCAAATTAAGAAATCACTGTATTTATTAAGCAGCTTTAGAGATGGGAAAGATGAATCTAGTCCATTACCTTAGCAAGCAAATGAACCCAAATCCCCCAAACCGTACATCGCGCAAGCCAAGCTGGCAGCAAGGGAAATATTTAGTCTTGGACAGAGGTGTTTAGTGCTGCGCTACCACCAAAAGCGCAGTCCTGCTCAGCCACCAACGGGCCTGGCAGCCACACTTTCCTCTCAGCTGAGTTTTTCCACCACTGATGGCAGCAGTAGAAAAACCTGTTTGCTCACAGCTGCTCCCGTGCACACGCAGAGCCCCAAGTGGAGCCGCTCGCATGAGTGAGGCGGCGACGACAGCCCCGCCGGGCCGCTGTGGCGGAGCGCGCGCCGAGGGCAGCGCCGAGGGGAGAGCTCTCATCTTCCCCTCAACACAGCCCGCAAAAACACCTCCGAGGTGCCAGGTAGCTGCAGAAGTGCTAAATTGCTACACGCGCTAGTGAAAAAATGTTAAGTGTCAGCTGCCGCAGTAGCGACGCGGGTCTTCTGGCAAGCGCAAAGTGACAACACAACATTCGAGTGGGGAAAAAGAAAAGAAATTATTCAGCTGCTCTGTCCAAAATCTTAACCGGTAGTAAGCTATATTTCAGTTTTACTTTCAGAAGACTTATGAAATTTCAAGATTACAATATCTTTCTTTATGAAAATGTAACTTCTGAGTTACTAAACTTGCATTATTTTCTTGATGAAAGACATGCATCTATAGTTTCATGAAGAATACCAGTAATACTAGTAATGCAGCACTAAATGGCCTTGGAGTTAAATATCAACTATTTCCATAATGTATCTTTATGCCTTTAAGATTATCCTATTTCTTGCAATTTCTCTTTAGCAACAGTAACACCTTTCACATCCCTCCTTTAACAGATCATGCTCTGCCTGCTAGCCCAACAGGTCACTTTGGAATTTAGCAGTCAATTTAACACCCTTTTTTTCCCTCTCTTAGAAACACAGATAGAATATACAGTAGTTTTTATGCTTGGCTACATGGTCAAGCAGCACTGGACTCTAAACTAGGCTGACTCTGGGAGAGAATGAAAGTAGCTAATAAAAATCCTAACCTCTTCCTTGAACATCTTTGCTTTAAAATGATACAAAATTTGGATAATTTCACCACTACAATTTCCAAAATAAAGTAACTAGAAAAAATACTCTTCTATATATACCATATACCACTACATACCACTGATACAGTTGGTCCTGATACATACTGATACACCCTCAACTACCACAGTTATTATTCTTCAAATCTGAAAGCAAGAGATAATTTTGCTTTAATAATCAGAATTTGGTCTCTTAACAGATCATCATCCTAGTAAAAAATGATAACAAATATTTCTTATCTGTACAATTCAAATGCAATACTTCATTAGAAATTTGGTTCAAATATATACTTTTTCTGCTCATTTCCCTATACATTTTAATGGTATTAGTATTCAGTAGTCCAACAATGACTAACAAAAAGATTAAATCCACACACACAACAACAACAACAACAACAACAACAACAAAAAAAAACTGCAAATGCATTAGCGTATTTGGGAGTATCAGAATTTCAGCAAATGAGAAATCCAGCTTGTTCTCCTGTCTGTCAAAGTTTCTTTTAACAATGCTACCACACATCTTGTTACACTAGGCTTAGAAAAAGCAAAGAGCAGGACCTTATAACATACACCCCGATTCTGAAAAGGCAAACATGCAAAGGACTTCATGTGGCTCATTCCCCTATAGTTCACTCTGCAAGATCAAGGCCCAAAGAGAAGCATGAGAGAAGTTGACAGAGACAGTACTGTGCTCTTCAAAAAAGTAGGCCACTTCCACCTACTGCTGGGTCAACATAATGGTTGGAAAACTTTAAAAGATAATTGATGTCTCTTACAGGATATATCCTGAAATAGAAAACTGGTAAGATTTCAGATTTGCAGTGCTTTCTATTACGAGCTATGTCACAGGATGGAAGATCTTGTCTTTGGAACACTTCCCTAAGCTGTTTTCTGCAGCTTGGTCTCCAAAGGTTTTATTGCAGATGATCATGAAAAGATTATATTTATTATAATTAAAACCAGTGCCAAAGAAAGTAAAGGCCAATATATTGCTAGAAAGTGACACTGACATCACTAGTAAATGTGAAACCAATTGCATGTATCTTAGTACCTTCCATACTAGACTGTAGCATGAGCAGCAATGAATATACAGGACATGAAGGAAGCTGACCTTTGCTCTTAAGCCACACGGTAATTAATAGAATACTGCTTATTTTATTTGTAGCCCTGCATATGAATGCTACCGCAGCTGAAGTAATATCTTTAAAATTGTCTCAAACCAAGTTGTTTTTTTTTAATGGTCTGCTGCTCAATAGATACTGATAAGATTATACAGGGATGGATAAATACAGCGATCAGCTGCGGATGTATCTGTATCTTGGTAATATTGTACATAGGAAAGTATTTGATTTGCAAGATAATATTCAGATTTTAAAGATTCTGGCTAACTCACAAAATTATAAAATGCATTTAAAATGCATTTTTTAAATTCTGTATTTAATACTATTTTTATATAAGCTTTTAATTAGCATGTCTGTGACATCTACTGTTTTCTTCTTATAAAGCAATCTGAAACCATCTCAGCAAGTCTGTCATGTTGGATAAGCAGCAAATGGATAGTGCTAACTCATAAAAATGAGTAAGAGTACAGCTCTACTAAATCTCTATGGCACAACCTTAGAGAGTGCTTAAAAGTGACTTCAGTACTACTATCGAGCCATTTTTTTCCCTGATGTGTATAGTAGGCTTATCATCGCTGTCTCAAGCATGCATGTGCAGCTGCATACTCACAGGCACACACATATTCCATGAAACATAAAAGAAAAAGCTTTGAGTTTTACGGCTTTGATTACAGACACAAAGCAAAGTTAAAACCTGTCAAAATTTCTAAGGTTAGGTGTATATAACTGTACAAACAAAAAAAGGCCATACCTTTTACACAGGAAAACAGGAAATTTTCAGCTCTATATTGCTTGTGACCATCATGAAATATTTTATAAAAGGAAAGTTGTTTATTTATAAAAAGAAGCTGCAAAATGTCCTGTGGGCACTACTAAACATTCCTCCACATATCCCATACTCACAATTTTTATCCTAGGGACTTCCTGGCAGGGAAGTGTCCCAGTTCTCACGCAGGTAGAGACAAGAACACTTTGATTAATTTTTGTTCACAAGTTTTCCTCTATTCGGCGAAGGCTGTGAAGGAACTAATGTGTAACACACTGCGTGATCCAGAATTACTTCCTGAGAGCTCCATTTTATCTGATGGCATTTTCTCTCTCAGCATTAATCTATTCTTCCTGTTAGCAGCTTCTCCGCACCGTCTGTAACACAAAAGCCCTATGATGGATGACCAACAAAAGCTCTTTATGGTCTTGACAGAGACAGATAGCTAATCCAGTGTTAATTTAAAACCAAAACCCTAATGTGAGAGTTAAAAGTATAGCTTATGTGGTTTTAGCTTGTAAGAGCCTGTATTCAGAAAAAAAAAAAAAAAACAGCTTTTCGTGAATGGCTAATCCTAAATATTTGTTACCTTTCCTACACAGTCCTTCACTAGTCCAGGATAACAACTATTACATGCATGTGCCAGTTCTATAACTTAATTTTATAAAATTTGCCAGACGAATTTAAAATGAACACTGACACGCTAACATAGCACGGACACAGCCACCTGCTTCCGCACGGCACATATTTGGTGGCAGCAAACAATAAATATTTAAAGAAAAGCTACCTGAACTTCGCAGCGGCTACAAGATGTGGGGGAAAGCTCGTGAGTACTGCGAAGACAAGCAGCTCCCAGCATCAAACTCCTGCATCGGCCGTCAGCGGGGCTCCCGCTTCTGGCAGTGGACCACAGACCTTGGGCATCGCCGGGCGGCTGCTGCCGGGCTGGAGTTGGAGCTCGCGCCGTGTCCCGTGGCGAGCGCGGCGCCGGCTTTATGGAGGCGGCACCACGGCCCTCGCCCCAGCGGCCAGAGCCTTCCCTTCTCCCTCAGCAATGTGAGAAGGGCTCCCTGGGGGGAGGATGATTAGGAAATAATTATTCCTTTGGTACCGAGCGACTGCTGGCAAATATTAAATTAGGATGTGCCCAAAAGAAGAGAGCAGAGGGGTTGAGGGAAATGCCAGAGGCTGCGCCTTTCATTATGCCAGCCTCCTGGCTGAATCCGTGAGGGTAAGTGGGTGCTGATGAAATAATAAATAACATCAGGACTCTCCTGAGAGCAAGGGACAGGAGCTCGGACTAGGAAACCTGAGGCAGTGCAGGAGGGAGGCAGGCAGCTCCTGTGTGTGACTCCACCAGTGACTCCCAGTATAAGGGCTAGTTTTCACTTACTAGTAACAGACGTCAGCAGTGGCTATTGAAAACTTTCTGCACCTCAAAATATTGTGAGGCATTTGAAGACCTGATGTTAGTACTAAAAGAGCAAGTGATAAGCTGCTTGTTTTTCAAATAATCATAGAATCACAGAATGCTTAAGGTTGGAAGGGACCTCTAGAGGTCATCTAGTCCAACCCCCCTGCACACGCAGGGTCACCTGGAGCACGTTTACACTGGCCAAAACATATTTTATTGCTACAATATTAGAACAATGCCTGGAGACTACTGGCTCTGATGAGCTTTTTTAGTTTTAAAGGAGAAGTTAAAATATGCCACATATCAAATTAAACAAAGAGAGATGTAATGATAACAATAAAGTTTCTCAGAGGGAGCTTGTAGCAAAAACTAGGGATGCAAAAACTGCCCTGTGCCCCTGCCCTTGATGCCACTTGCCGTGTCTGAACAGACATAGGGAAAGGAAAAGCACTAATCTTCACAAGGAAGCTGTTTACTTTTGAAAAGAGGTATTATTAAATATTCAGTAGCTCAGAAACGCCGATGATTTATATTGATCAACACTTGAAGCAGATCATTTCATCATTCATTAATTACTGTGGCAAAACTTCCCCTCGCAAGTCGATAGCAGATTTGCCAAACACACACCAGCGGGCTCCAAGTTTGTGGGGACAGAGGAGACCATGACAGCATCCGACCAGTTCCCAGCAGGCGCAGGGCTCCTTGGGACACCCCCTTTCCTGGTGCTGTCCCTTTGCAGCTCTCAGTCTTGATAGGGAGGTTTCCCCAAATTTCCTGAGGAAACCCTTCTACAGTCCAGTACATCTCACGCAGAATAATATGCCATTCCTCTCTCATATTCCTTTACACGCAGTCAAAGCAACTACGGCCAGCAGTATTTATTTTAACACAAGATGTCCCATTATTTGCCTTCCTGTTATCAGTCTGATAAAAGAGCAATGAGACTGCAGTCTTTGGCCTACCGAAGAAACACCGCTCTTTTGGCAAACTCATGCAGCAAGTAGGGACTGCCTGCAGGAGAGTTTTGAGCCTTCTTATTTTTAATAAAGAGCAGTTTTCCATACATTCTTTAAGCCATAATTTAACCATTTTGACAAAACATATTACACAGAGAAAAAAATCTTCCAGATAAAATTTCATAATAATTGCAGGAGAATTGAAATGCTTCATATTTATATATAGATTTGTTTCCTAAATTTAAATAACAAAACTAATTTTAGTCAGCACTTACTTTTACTGACAATAACTGAATTTGAGAAATACTCCTGCCAGAACGAGGATATTATCGCAGAAAAAAAATCAATATTTCTGTGAAGAACAGAACTAATAAAAGCTAGTCTTCTCACTGGCCAACTCTGAGCTTCAGCATAAGCTGTTATCCTAATTGAGGTATCTGTAAGATGCCTTTCCTCTCTGGTTTCCTGTATCTGCTTACATGTAAACTAACACTGTCACCTTTCCGCTGCCTGTAGCATTTACATGCATTTTCATAAAACGTGCAGGACTCAACAGAATGTCAAGTATCTGTCCCTCAGTTCCAATAAAGAGACAGTAAAGGTGTATCTAAGGCTTAGTGTATCCATATTATTAAACCATGAGGACTAAAAAACTGTACGTACACATTTATCAGGGAAAACGAAGTGTTCTTTTAAGGCCCTGAGGATCACTATATGCGACGACAAAATATTCTGTGACAAGGGAAACCCTGAGCAAACACAGACCTCTGCTCAGGAGAGAAAACAGAAAAGCGGGTGAATTTGTGTGCTCTCTACAACGTGGCAAAGGATTAATACAGCCAGCCAAGATGAATGGCAGACCCAGTAATGGCATTAATAATCAGCTCCTTCTCTCTTATAAATATTTAGTATAGGACAGATAGTGTCCAAGCAGGGAGGGGGAAATGAGATAATCTTTAGTTGCCTCTGCAGGGAGCTCTGAAAAGACACATTAGCATTGCTGGACTTGGAATTAAGACATATAATTATCAGGTAATAGAGATACCTGCTCACCTCGGAGGTAAATAGCCTAAGAACCAACAAACTCCAAAATCTCCGTAATTTCTTCTGCAATTAAGATACAGTAACTGTAGACATTCAGAGAAAACAGGATGAAGTATTGGAGTAAAACTGGGTGCGAATATTGGTGCTCTCATCAAAACTTTGGCTTCAGGAAAGGAAAAAGGGAGGAAAAGGGCTGGGAAGACAGCAACATAGTATGGTCTCTAACAGCCAGGTCCCTACAGTGCTTATCCTAGAAAGGGCTGTCTGGCTTCCATCCTTTAATCAATCAATCAAGATGATCTACATGAGACTGAACTCATGTTTCCTTTATCCCCCAAATTAATAAACGTTAATCCATGGAGTAGCACTGAAACAGACTGCCCGGAGAGTGGAGTCTCCTCCTCTGGAGATCTTCCAAACCCACCTGGATGCCACCCTGTGCCACGTGCTCTGGGTGTCCCTGCTGGAGCAGGGGGGGGTTGGACTAGATGATCTCTAGAGGTCCCTGCCAACGTTAACCATTCTGTGACTCGATGAATATTTTGGTGAAAGCACTTGAAACCGAGCAAGCAAGGAAGCCCAAGTCCTTCCAGAAGCTAGGTTTTTAGCTGGAAGAGGAAGAAAATCCAGATCTCAGTTACAGAGAAAAAATATGCATTAAAAAATCATATGCTGGCATTAGGTAAAAATCAGACTGATTTTATTACTGATTAGACGACCAGATTTTTGCCTTTCCAGAGCAGTATCCTTGTTACTGAAGGGCATTTTCCCGTAGAGCCTATCCCTTTTTCCCCTGGAGAGAGGGGGAGATGTAGGTTTAAAGCACCTGGTTTGAGCAGCGCCGCACCCGGATTCCTGAGCTCCTGCCCAACGCGCCGTAACTGAGCGAACGCTCTGTCACTCGGGCACATCACCACCACTGTCACTCGAGATGAAATTAGTCATAGATCTAATCCTTGCTAACCTTTTCAGGGACTATGCCAGAACTTGAGTCGCTGTCCAGGCATCGAGGCAGAAGTTCACATCTGCCTCCTCAAATTAGGCAACTCCAAGCATGTGCATGTGATTAAAGTTAAACACTTCAGCGAGGCAGGGAGGTGCCTAATATAACTATGCACACAGTGTTAAGCAGTCTTGGGAAATAAGTCAGTCTGACTGTCTGGGATTCCTGTATTTTGAGGGGCTAAAGTCAAATTTGGTTGGGATATGCCATTCCTACACCATAAATCTAATCCTACGTAAAGCAGAGCAACCACTGTATAATCCTCTTCACGAACTACACTAACCAAGCTTCACCTCAACTCTTCTTAAATCCTTTGTTCTCATTATTAATTTTAAATACAATTCTCTCCTCAGATGGTATGATAATATTCTAATTCCATCCTAAATTTATGATTAATATTAATTTGTTCCCATTCTAAATGATCATCATTGCTCATTTTCTTTTGAGAAAAGTTTGTCTCTCCAATACCGCCTTTGTCCTTTACTATCCTTCCAGTTTAATACAATTAAAGCATACTCTAATTGAATTTAACATAATTAAAAACAACCAACAATATGTCTTTCTGATGGAAGCACAGTTGCCCTGCCAAGGACATGCAGAATCCTTGTTTATCACATGGATATCGCTTCAAGCCAAAAGTGCTCTTCTGATGCCGTTTCACATCCCTTCACTAACCTACAGATGAGAAAACTGTCCAGAGGTAACTCTGGAGGTTTACAGACAACACTCAGGATCCTGTGCAAACCAGATCCATGCGTGAAAGCAGCAGACGTGGAATATCCCAGTGATTTGCAGCTAGACTGTAACCAAAAGAGCCGTGTTTTAATACCCAAGAGCTATGTTTTTAACATCCCTAAAGGTGGTATGCACAAGAAAAAAACAGCCCCAACGGCATGCACTGATAAGGGCAATATTATTACAAACTGAAGATATTTTCTGTAAGACAGAGGCAACAAAGAAGTGCCTTCAAAAATCAAGAAGTGCAGGCCAATCTCTCTGTTGAGGAGAGATATCAGCAGGCCTTGCAAATTATCTCGCGCAGGCAAACACAGGTATTTGACCTTCTCTGATAAAAGATCAGAGTCTTTTTCTCTTTAGTATGAGGGAATAATTGCAGTAAAAGCAATTATTGCTTTTGAGCATTATTTCTTGAGATGGAAGGATTAATTTCATCTCAGATGGAGGAACAGCTTCTAGTTATTTCAGTCTTTTAAAAAGCATCTGAAAAGAGATAAAAATGGTAAGGCTGGGGACTGCTAGTTCTGTCATTGGTCTAGATAACAAAAGTTGCAAGTAACTGGTGAAACTGCTTCAGGCCTGATGGACACTGACCCCGAAGAAGTGGCCTGCAGTCACAGAGAGTGGGAAGCATCTCCTTAGCAAAGATCCAAGGTGCTTCCTGGAGTGCAATGAACACCGAGCCCAAAAATCCCCCATTGATTCCAGTGGAATTGCTGTCTCGTCCACTGATGGTTGTGAGATCTTAAAATTCCTTTGAAAATAACTGTAGTGGGAGTCTTCAACTCCAGAAGCTGAAGAAGGCATTAAAAAAACAAAAAACTTTAGAATCTGACACGACTCCATAAAGATCTCAAGGCTCTGAATCCTTAAAAAACATTCCCATTGTGGAATTAAATAC